AAAAAAAAAAAAAACCAAACAGTGATACAAGCAATTGGCCAAAATACGGGGAGGGGAGAATTTGATCACAAATACACACGAGATGATAAGGCAGCAGAAGAAGTTATAGAACAAGGACACTGGCTAAGATGTGTACTGCAGCACACTGACTGACAGATACAGATGTGGGGTGCATGTGCACAATGGGCACTGCAGGAATGGGCTAGGGGGCATAGTGTGGGGCCGCCCTTAGAAACAGAGCCCTGTACGTTAAGACTTCACAGTCCTCGGATCCCAAGAGTAACCACTTTACTCTTTTGAAAGCTGCTGTGGTTCTGGGAAAATGCAAAGCAAACCTTACCTTCACACCTTTCTCCTCCTCCTTCAGCATGTCTTCCATGTTCGTAGCTTTCTCTTCAACAGATATGGTTTTCTCAGTTATCATTTTTAATTTCTGTTTTACAACTTCATTGTGACGTTTAAGTTTTTGTAATCTAAATAGGGTTTATATGGAAATATAGAAAGCATGCTTAAAAGAATATTTGACACACAAAAACATAGTTGCTTCTTTTGCTGCAGACATTTTCATTGCCATCACGAATCTAATAGGCTATAAAAGTATTGCTCTGAGCCTCTCTGAAAACAAAACAAAACAAAAACAAGAAAATCTGGAACTTAATAATGGAGCGACTGTACTGGGGTAGAGCTCAGTAGTCTAGGGTGGAACTCAGTAGGCTGGAATGGAGCCCAGTGAGATGGGGTGGAGCCCAGTGGGCTGAGGTGGAGCTCAATGGGCTGGGGTGGAGCTCACTGAGATGGGATGGAGCTCAGTGAGATGGGGTGGAGCTCAGGGAGCTGGGTGGAGCTCAGGGAGCTGGGGTGGAGCTCAGTGAGGTGGGGAGGAGCTCAGTGAGATTGGGGAGGAGCTCAGTGAGATGAGGTGGAGCTCAGTGAGATGGGCTGAAGCTCAGAGAGATGGGGTGGAGCTCAGTGAGATGGGGTGGAGCTCAGAGAGATGGGGTGGAGCTCAGGGAGATGGGGTGGAGCTCAGGGAGATGGGG